CCTTCACTATTTGTGGTTCTGCTGCTGCTGCTGCTGTTGCTGCTGCTGCTGCTGCTGCTGTTGCTGCTGCAGGATGCTGCAGGCGACGTTCAGCAGAAACAAAACACCGACTGGGGTGTACATACACGGGCTGTCTGTTGATGGGGGGGTTTGGAATTATGATTTAGGGGTTTTAACAGATGAGCCGTCAGCAGCAACAGCAACAGCAGCAGCAGCAGGAGCAGCAGGAGCAGCAGGAGCAGAAGCAGGGGCAGCAGCAACTGTCTCTCACGACTTCCCGGTGCTGCTGCTGCAGCCTCAAGTAGCAGAAGGAGAGACGCCGAATAAAGCAGAGACCGAAGACGCAGCAGCTACAGAAGCAGCAGCAGCAGCATCAGAAGCAGCAGCAGCAGCAGAAGCAGCAGCAGCATATGAGCCGGAGTCTCCAAAGGAGACACAGCAGCAGAAGCTGCAGTACATTTGCCCCCTCTTCGTTACTGCCGAGAGAAACTCCACAGGTAAATTCTTTTTTCTTCTATGCAGCAGCAGCAGCAGCAGTAGCAGCAGCAGCAGCAATAGCAGCAGCAGCAATAACTGCAGCAGCAATAGCTGTAGCAGCAAGTGCATCAGCAAATCAGTGTTTCTCTAGTCCTAACTTGCTGCACTGCTTGTTACCCGTTACACCCACTTTCTGCTGCTGCTGCAGCTATTGCTGCTGCTGCTATTGCTGCTGCTGCTGCTGCTGTAGCTGCTGCTGCTGCTGCTGTAGCTGCTGCTGCTACTGCAGGTGCTGTGGCAAATGCTGTTGCTTCTCCTCACACTGCGTGTTTGCGGTTGTTGCTGTTGCTGCTGCTGCTGCTGCTGTTGTTGCTGCTGCTGTTGTTGTTGCTGCTGCTGCTGTTGCTGCTGCTGCTGCTGTTGCTGCTGCTGCTGCTGCTGCTGCAGATGGCTGTCTGGGCTCTGTGCCGCTTCCTGTTTTGGAGTCTCCTTCTCAGTGGGTGCTGCGGGGGGCAGCACTCCTCTTAGAACCCAGAGAATAAATAAATAAATAAATAAATAAACAAACAAATAAATAAATAAATAAATAAATAAACAAATAAATAAATTTGTTAATTAATTCATTAAATTATTTAATTAACAAATTATCAAATCCCTTTTGCTGCAGCAGCAACTGCTGCTGCAGCACCTTGCTGCTGCAGAACCTGCTGCTGCAGCAAATGATGCTGCAGTAGCTTGCTGCTGCAGAACCTTGCTGCTGCAGCACCTGCTGCTGCAGCTGCTGCTCCCGCTGTGGCTGCAGCTGCTGCTATAAGTACGCTGCTGGTGGTGTTGCTGCTGCTGCAGTAATCGATTTAGCAGTTTGCGCGGGGATAGGGTGTACATACACCTGAGACAGCAATAAAATATTCTTCCTGCTGCTGTTGCTGCTGCAACACTAGCAGCAGCTGATCTTGCAGCAGCAGCAGCAGCAGCTGTTTGTTTGCTGCTGCTGCCTCTGAATAAACCCCCGCACAACTGCTTCGGCTTTGTATAAAACTGCGTCAATTCTTTCCTACGAATAATATTAGTACTGGGAGTGCTGCTGCTGCTCCTGCTGCTGCTGCCGTTGCTGCTGCTGCTGCTGCTATTGCTGCTGCTGCTGCTGCTGCTATTGCTTTGGCTGCTGCTTTTTGTCGCTGTTTCTGTTGCTCTTGCTGCAGTTGATGTTAATGCTTCCGTTATTGCTGTTTCTGCTGCTGTTGCTCTAGCCGCTGCTGCTGCTGCTGCTGCTGCTGCTGCTGCAGCTGCTGCTTTTAGTCGAGGAGTCCGCAGCAGAGTCTGGCGCCTGATTTATTTTTTCTGTTTATTTTTTGAATATCTTTTTGCGATTTTGTTTGAAGTGGAGACGCCAAACGATCCTCCAGCAGCACAGACAGCAAACCCACGTCCTGCAGCAGCAGCAGAAACAGCAGCAGCAGCAGAAATAGCAACAGCAGCAGCAGCAGAACCAGGAGCAGCAGCAGAAATAGTAGCAGCATTAGAAGTGGTAGCAGCAGCAGAAATAGCAGCAGCAGCAGAAATAGAAGCAGCAGCAGCGGCAGAACCAGGAACAGCAGCAGAAATAACAGCAGCAGCAGCAGCAGCAGCAGAACCAGCAGCAGCAAGAGAGAAGAAGAGACAGAAAGATAGAAGAGAGACAGATAGAGAGACAGACGTAA